TTAATATTGTGGCTGGAACTCAAAGAATGGAGAAGAATTTCACACTGGGTCACTCTCTAATCTTTGTTTTCTGTCAATGATTCATAAACCATGTAATCCTACAAATACCAGTTTCTCAGTGTTTAGCGCTCCCACATGTTATATTGTTCTGCCAAAATCCCTTGCATTTTCAGATTTTCAGAATAACATGTTTCATCTCATTTGAAAAGATGGATCAAGACAACTGGGGAGAGATCGAGGTCAAGAATTTGCTGACCATATCTGAAAAGGAGACAGGAGATCTTTCCCACCACATGACACGTCCCAACATTTGAGGTTGATTTTAAATAGAGAATAAATTTAAATGAAATGAGTACTTTTTTTTCCAAAGCTTTTGGAGTCCAGAAAATTCAGCAAAGGCTTCTTTGTGAGGTTATATGATGTTATGTTGCCTTTGTACTGCAAAGCTTGAGAGATACAAGATTTATTTTCAATACCGTTTCCAAGGAAAATCTCAGAAATCTTCTGAGACAAACTCAAAGGTATTGAGACTTGTTATTATAACGTGGCATAACATGCTAACATAGCCTTTGGTAGGATGAACTCATGCATTAAGTTAGGCTTAAGAGCTATTTCTACACCCTCAACGTGAGCAGAGTTGCTGGTCTAATGCAATTTGTGTCAGTTTAGATAAAATACAAATAAGTCCATCAAACCCATACCCACTAATCCCCAAATCTAAATTACCTGTCACGTTTGAAATGGTTTTAACTTTGTTTTTTTTCTGGGGTGGTGGGAGGGAGGGAATTGTTGTTTTTCTTTTTTTGACAGTTGAAAGCTATCCTGGTTACAAAGCCTCTTTGCAGTCACGCAAATTTCTACCACCGTGAAGAAAACATTGCTTTGCTATGTTAAAAGCAAAACTGTCAAGAAATTTATAATAATAATCCTTGGATTTGATGAAAGCGCCTTACCATGGTTGTTGAGACGTCCCAAAGGGCTTCGCAGAATATATTGTAAAGTGGATTGACTGTGTATTTTGTGGGTGAAACACGGCAGCCAATTGTGCAGAGCAGTGACCCACAACAGTTGCAGATTGAGTGGCCCCTTTTTTTTGGGTGGGGATGGGGGAGGAAAGGGTTTATTAAGCCCGGAAAGCGATCCATCAATTGACTAGGAACCGGGTTCCTTTTTACTGCTAGGTAAACAAAAGAGTGTGGAGTAAGGACTCTTAATTAAATTAAAATATACTGTTTTAATTTATTCTCCATTTAAAATGAATCTCAAACCACTAACCGCTATGCTCTGGGACTCCACAAAGTTTTGAAGTTTGTTGTAGAAAAAAACGTATTCATTCATTTAATAATAATAATCCTTGTATTTGATATAGCGCCTTATCACTCCTTCGAGACGTCTCAAAGCGCTTCAAAGAACATACTGTATAGTGTAGTGACTATTTTGTGGGCGAAACGCGGCAGCCAATTGCGCACAGCAGTGTCCCACAAACAGTCGTGGATTGAGTGACCAAATTATTATTGGTTCTTTTTCTTGAGGGATTATTATTAGACGTATGGAGTAAGGAAACTTGCCCAAGGTTTCGCCCTGCCAGGAATCGAACCTAGGTCTCTCGCTTACAAGGCGAGTGCTCTAACCACTGAGCTTCAGGACTCCATAATGATATGCAAGTGATTGTCTAACTGAGCAGGATTACTATTGTAACAACACATCACCAATAAAGTAAAAGTAACCTATCTTATTCCAGCTCACGTTCTCTATTAGTGGGTGAACAATCCAAGGAGTATTTCTTGATGTAATAAAACTTTTCAATTATCCTCAAATATTAAATAGCTTTTTTTAAGCTCATTTTTAATTTAGGCTATGAAATGAAACAAAATGAAAAACTTATTTTCCAAAACTTGAGCTGGTAGACAGATAACATTAATATAGATATACTTTACACAAGAATAGGACCCACAGCAGCAACAGACTTGCATAGCAGGTGCAAGACTAAGCAATTTTGCACAGTGCTCTCAAAATCATAAAAGATGCACTTATCTTCAAAAGCCTTGAATTCCCCCCCATTGCCTTTCTTTAAGCATGATATTTTCCTTAATATGTTGCAGATCCAATCTCTGAATAACATAGGTGTGACTTATATGAAAATATCCCCTGGGTTATTTAACTAGAGTTTAATTTGTCTTGAATTCGTTGAAAACAATGTATGAATGCATTTATACACAAAAAAAGTCACAAATCTCCTTTAAGAGTGCTTTAGAAATTTGGCAGCGGATGATATCTCTAAGGCACACAGGAGAGCACTGAAAACAAGCAGATGAATAGTTTGCTAATGTTTGCTAATGCTAACTTGTTCTTACTGATCTATAGTTCTCGATTCAGAATGGGATTATTGTAAAGGAGCAATTGGATCTGTTATTATTCTATTAAAATACATTTTGGTGTATACAACTGTTCCCTAAATCAGTACTAATGGGCTTGATTTGAAACCGTTGCAATATATTTGCCCAGAGTTTTTCCAATAATAATCCTTAATAATAATCCTTGCATTTGATATAGCGCTTTTCACTTCGGGAGGACGTCCCAAAGCGCTTCACAGAACATACTGCAAAGTGAATTGACTATATATTTGTGGGCGAACGCGGCAGCCAATTGCGCACAGCAATGTCCCACAAACAGTCGTAGATTGAAAATGACCAATTTATTATTGTTTTTGGTTTTGGAGGGATTATTATTAGGCTCTGTGTGGAGTAAGGAAACTTGCCCAAGGTTTCGCCCTCTGCCTGGAATTGAACTCAGGTCTCACTTGCAAAGCGAGTGCTCTAACCACTGAGCTACAAATAGTTAATTACATTGCTTCTGATTTTGTAACTGGTACATTAAAAACATGTAAAACTGCCAAGGCGATTTGACTCACCCAGTGTGCCAAACCTATCGGGGACACGAAATCCTGGGAAAATGTAAGATACAAAAGATTGAGAATTATCTGCACAATTCATTTTGCAGTAAAATTACCTTGAAGTAATTATCTAAACAAGTGTCTACTGTCACATTAACCTCAGATAAATGGACCTGTTGTAAATAAATATCCGAAATGAAGCAGTCATACTATGGGTACCCCATAGCAAGCACCTCCACCTCTGCATTAAATCACAAACAGACTTGAAAGAGGCCTAACTTAGTCACTGCAGCAGTTTTACTGGTTTTACCCATGTCTTACATGACTGAATTGATGTCTCATTTAGTTCCAGTAATGTCAGTATTCCTGCATTTTGCATTCAGCTATTTCTCACAAGAGTTATGACCCGAGTCTTTCGACAGTGCTGAACATGGCAGAGTCATCTGTAAAAGCAGGTGTACTGAACCACTGCACCTTAATCATCGCTTTCATGACATTTTAAGAACCTGTTTCTAACTTTGCTCTGCATTGTTTTCCATGTGTCCCAGCAAACTGCTGATTGTTTATTATAGCTAGACCATTCACTGGGAAGAAGCTATTTATCTTCGTCAAACTGTTGTTGCCCTATTCATTCCAGGTCTCATATGCACAATATAATACACAACATATGTAGAGTGAAACACTTATATCTATACACTGGTGAAAAAACAATTCATTTGTGTTAATATCTGATAGTATTAATGATAGTATTATTAAATTTAGTAGTAGTATTTTTATGGATATTATTATTATAACTAATAACATTTCCATTTTAAGCTATGAGCACTTTTTAAATGACAAACATTCCTGAAATATGTTATAATCTTAGGTATCACCCCATACGTGCCAGTCACGTGCTGCTTCATAAACTAAATAGAAAACAAATAAAACAAATGTAAAAGGGAAGATAGCCATTTCTTATTTTTATTATTATTTTTATTATTATTTCTTATCACCCACTTTGCTTCTCCCAGTCGTATCTGAGGTCAACCTTAGCTACCGTGCATCAGAATTTCAAAGGAACGAGCAACCTCATAAAATGCCTGAAAGATGCCTTCTGAGGAGCAAAGATCAATGTTTGCATTTAGATCATGGGCAGTGGATATGGTGGCAGCCTGACTAACCTGGGTACATGTCAGGAAATCCCATTGGTAAGATGTACTAGATTATCCTTTGGGTGAAGAACATCATTTGGTGAATTGAAGACACAATTCCATGTGACGCTCAAACATTGGCGAGGATAATAATAATCATAATCATAATCCTTGCATTTGATATAGCACCTTATCACGTCTTTGCGACATCTCAAAACTTGTCACCGAATACACTGTAAAGGATGCTACACGAATGACAAGACTGATCTCCAAAAAGCCAAGGGATGAGCTACAAAAACAGAAGAGGAAAGTTTAAGGTCTGAAGGCTAGAAAGAAAGCAGACGGGATTGAGGGGGATCGCATTGAAGAATATGAATTGTAAAATGGTAATAGCTCAATCTGAAATACTATTTTAGGTTAATCGGAAAAATCGGGACCAAACAACATCAATTTAAAATATTAAAAAATATACAGTTTTGAAAAATATCAAGAAGAAATGTTTCACTCAAGTGAGAGGGATAAAAGTTCGAAGCAATCAGAGGCAAAGAAAAACATTTGGTCGGTTCAAATTGCAGTTAGTTGATAATATTGAGTAGATGAGGATATTGGAGGATGAGATTTTCTGATCCAAGTGATCTCTTATCATTACTAACTTTTGTGATACAATGCTTCTGTAAAAATAACCTTGCTCTATGGACTTTAGTGCAGGAAAACTCTAGAGAACTATAGCACATGATGCAACCTGGATCAAATGAGGTTTCTCATGAAGAAGATTATTTAAGCCACATGGCCTCTGTTCAACAAGTTTTTTCATGTCCATTTTGTTTACATGATCTGTACAGAGTAATCACACATGCACATACACCACACACAGAGTAATGCACGTGCGCACACACACAAACAAATATACAGAGTAACCCCCACATATAGACACACATTATCGTGTATCAAATTGAAACCATAACAATATTAAGTATTTGGCCAATTTACGGAGTGTTTCACATTTATTTCATATTTTTGAAAATTCCAATAGAATATCCAGTGTAAAGATAGTACAGACACAGCAGCTGAGATTACGTTGTTAACCCAACCATGTTAATAATATCTATTAAACATTTCCCTCAAATAACCACACAACTATTGGGTATGTACAGAGTAGAAATTAAACGGAGTCTCCTCAAGTCCTTGAGGCATGCAGTTGCATGTTGTTTTACTGGTTTGACAAAATAGTACGAAATCCTATCGCTACAGTTCCATCGCTGGGAGTGACGTGAGCACTTTCAGCTTAGAGTGATGTTCAGGGGAAGCTTGATTTATATTTCCTCCGCATTGCGTTGGCGTAGTTGAATAAACTAACAGCTGAGATCTGAAATTGGGTGTTACGCTTTAATATGTTTGCTCGAAAGTTCCCAGGCTGTCTATTGGACCACGGGAAAACATTCTTGTATCTCCATGTCCAAAACTACACTGCTACTCTGTCACCAACTGCTCTTGAAACCCCTCTTTTCAAGGTGGCCTCAGATGTAGGATTCCAGCATGATTCTTACAGACTCAACCCTGCTTTATCCTGTGCTTTTAACCACATTTGGTGCAATGCAAACATCCTGCTAGTTTCATTAACATTGTGCACCGAATACAATTAAAAAAAAACCCAAATGGATTGGATATCTTAAATTACTGTTATTAATCCTTCAATGAGAAGATTTGATCCTACATCCCCAAATTGTTGAATCCTTGAATTGAATCTTCAGTTGCACACGGCTGCATTTCAGAATATCACTTCAATAAGAAATTGCTTTTCTTAAATTGAAATTGCAATTTGAAGGTGGAAATTGCTTCTCATTGTTCATGCAAAAAAAAAACACAGAGTTACATGTAAAGAACCTTATTACAGTATCTCGCAGGATGAGAATAACCTGTTTATGTTGGCTTACAACATGGCACCTAGTTTTGCCAACACAGGTGGAGAATGTCCCCGATTTGTTTCTGAATTTCTCCTTGCACACGGAAAAATCTGATGTTTTATTATATTGGGTGGAAGCACACATGAGTCTATGAGTCATCAGAGTAGGCTTAATTCCTCATTACGCAGCCTTCACAAGGAATTATTCTTCTGTCAAGAACAATTCACCCAACTAGCTTCAAACCTCACAAGCAACCTTTACACAGTGCCACCTGCTCTTTGCGAAAGTCTCGGCAGGGACAGAGACGCCTGTACTTCAGGTGATGGCCCGCACAGCTGAAGAGTAGCACCTCCTTCTGTAGGTAACAGTCCTGGGCTATTTCCTCAAAGGCGGGATACAGATGGTTTGCCTCAGACTCAATGCTGTCACAGACAAACTTGAGCCTGTGGAATTAAATAAGAAAAAAAAATTCTTATATTCTTTGGATTATGAAAATGATTTGAGTTCCATGTTGACTTCCTAATCAAAAAGCAAAGTTTGGCAATAACACCATTATGTTCTAGAATATTTTTGTTCAATGCAAATATTAATAAGAATCCTTACATTGAGATGTCTCAAAGCGCTTCATAGGATATATTGTAAAGTGGAGTGACTGTGTACTTTGTGGGCGAAACGCAGTAGGCATGTCTGCACAGCATTATCCCACAAACAGCCATGGAATGTGTGACCAATTTTATTTGGGTCATTGTTGGCTAGGTCACTGGGAAAAACTCCCTTCTCTTTTTGAATAGTGATAGGGGATCTTTAACATCCACCTGAAAAGGCAGTCGGGACCCGGGTTTAACACCTCATCCGAAGGATGGCATTAGTTATTAATTACCATTGACTGCATGATTTGAAATATCCTGAAATTATCTTCTAATTTCAATTTCTAGTGAACTAGGCATATCTCCTCCAGGCTACTCTACACTGATGACAAATCGTCTGAGTGGACTTAACTGAGGCATTGCGGCTCAGGATATTCCTAGCGTTGGACATTAAATTTGCCAAACATCCATCAGTCAAATACCAAATTCAAGGCAAAATACCCTTCATTGTAATCTTGGCCCAATAATCCTACATCGCCACAGCTGCCACACTGGCAGTGTCAGCTTTCTAACCATGAATGCTCATCTCCTCCATCAATGCTTGGAGTTAGCTGATTTAATCAGAGAAGCACAATGTTTCTGATGGGTCAGCATCAATCCTTTAACTTTTTGAACACTAACTGTCTATGGTAATTTTCAAACACATTTGCATTTTCTATCCCAAAACTGGGCGATCGTCACTTATTATAAATTTGAAGATTCCAAAGCCACATTTGAATAAGACTCAGCAAGTGTGGTCCATTTTGAAAAGGGATTCAATCAGCACAATTGGCAAAAGGGTAGAGCAGAAGTCTGCAATGCACATTCCCAAAAGCATTTACGTCAGGAGATAATAGTAATCCTTGCATTTGATAAAGCGCCTCATCACGTCTTCGACACGTCTCAAAGCGCTTCACAGAATATATTGTAAAGTGAATTGACTGCATATTTTGAGATCTCAAGTTCAATGCACGTAAAGAGGAAGATAATCTTACTGCTGGAAAACAGCTTTGCTGTTGACAAACTGGAAGAATGTTGGTTCACATATGAGTCCATGATCTCGGCAGACGTCTGTGCAAGACTGCGAAGTCTCTGACATGTGTAACTGCATGGAGTCAACTGGAGGCCAAGAGAGTGGTTTGGTGCTGTTTGGAGCCCAGAGAAGCCCAGTGATATTTTGAAGGAGGGTGAACGGGTTTGTAGTGTTAGGCGAGGATGACATAGGTCTTGAATTATTCTGAGGCCATGACAGAAATATTTTATTACACAGATCCTGTTACAAGACAGAAGAAAGAAAACATCATTGGATGTAAATATTTTATATTAATAATAATCCTTGCATTTGATATATCACGTCTTCAAGATGTCTCAAAGCACTTCACAGAATATACTATAAAGTGAACTGAGTGTATATTTTGTTCTGAAGTTTCCAATGTAAGCCATTAAATTGTACTAATTGGTCAATCCTGTTTTTTTGGGAAGCACAGTAGGAATAAAAGCAAAAGAAAGAACTTACATTTTTATCCTATCCTGGCAATTTCTGTAAAGTGCAGTGACTCTTTTTCTAGGCAAAGACAGTAGACATTTGCACACAAACAACCAAAAGGTGAATGATCGATTTAGTGTGGAGAATTATTGGCCAAGACATTGGGCGAAGCTTTTTGAACAGTATCAAAGGATCTTTAACATGAACAGGCATATGGAACCATCGCGTATAAAAGATGGTTCCTTCCACACTGCAGTGTGCCTCTACATTGGAACATATGCTGCTTTTACATGTATTTGTGCATATGTGTGCATGTCTCACATGACTTAGAATGGGGCAATAAGCGTAAAAATAGTTGTGTCAACCAGGAAGAGGAAATTTCAGTTACAAACTGTACTTTTATTTAACCAGAGATTTTTACACAAGATGATATTAACATTGAGTTAACCCGATGACATGGCTTTATAGAGAAAGCCCTATCATGGAGCACTCCTTTAAATGATATTATTCGATTACTTTTGGTCCTGCAGCTTAGTGGTGAATTTTGGACCAGAATAGCTGATGTGTAAGGGAAGTGTTGTCCGCTTGGATGATGTTTTTGATTTTAGTAACATTTTACACATGACCTGATCCTTAATCTTATTTATTCTGCCAACGCTTCTGAATAAATCACATTTTCACTCCGACTCAGAATAAAAGATAAGAGTGAAATCCAGGCTGCGTCCAGCATAGAATATACTTAACAAAGCTGCTGTTACTTCATTCTGTCTGATTTTCACCAAAGAAGTTGCTCTCTACATTACTCTCCACTCCAAAATCCAGGGCACTTCCCTCTGATGGAAATAGGCCACTTGAACATAACGGTGTCTTTATTTATACTTTCTAAATGCCACGGCAATAGAACAAGAGGGCACAGGTTCACGTTTGCAAAGGACAGTTTCAGGACCGAGACCAGGAAGTATTTCTTTACTCGGAGAGTAATCATTGCTATTATCCAAATGCAAAGCAAGGGGGCACTGTTCCCCATGGAAAAGCTACGTGCCTGAACTAAATGAACTCAACCGGATTCGGAACGATTGCTGGCAGTCTATGAATGATATCAAATGCATTTTTTTGTGTGGGGGGATGTGGGGGGTGGGAGGGGGGGTGTGGGGGTAAAAAATTTCATTTCAAGTAAATGATTATAAACAGAATTAAAGAAACAGAATCACATAACTCAGTGTCTGGCCTCAAATGTACTGATGCTCATAAACTCTACTCGATTGCAAGACAGCATTTTGTGTGGGCTGTGATTCTAGTCACTAGCATGTGTAGTGACTTTGGCGATTGGGATTATAGATGGGATATCCATTAGGGGACGATTGTGACCTCATACAAAATCAAACAGAATTTCAGGCCTTAGTGGGGGGGCGGGGGGGATTGGAGATAAAAACCACATGAATACGGAGGAATAATGGGAAATTTTATCAGTTCCATTCCTCACATTCTTGGGTTATGCGACAGTTAAACAGAATGGAGTCAGAACTGATTTTTTTGAATCTGGAGCAAAAATTCTGCTACAATTCTCAAATGGCCCCTGTGTGCCATGCAGGGAAGGGGCATAACTTTAAAGTAAACATGTGCATTAAGCGCAAACAAACCCGGGGGTCTGAGTCAATGTTCTCTCCTTCGATTTCCAAGTGAGCTGATCCTCTTTAATAGAGTCCTAATCTCCACCATCACAGTCTTGTGTGTTCAGGGATAACAGTGCAAGAAAGTATTGAACAGGAAAAAGATCATTCAGCACGTTAAGTCCACTGATACCAACAGGCCATGTTTAATTTGCAATACCATGGCTTCAGCCCGGCTCATTTATCTTCTGAGCTAGATAAAAACGCAGGTAAAAATTTCCAAGAGGATCAAGAACTAAAAATTTTTCCCTGACCACCCCCCCCCCACACCCCGCCAAGGATCATCACCATGCCAATTGCAGTCATGGAGTATCAGCTACCATGGAATTGGCGGATGACATCAAACCACAGTAAAAAGGAAGTTACAAGAACCCCCAAATCAAAAATTGTGTTGGTTCAGTTCGTGAGCTGCATTTGTCTAAACAACCAAATTCACCTTCTTTCCTTATCTTTTCAGGCTTTATTTTGTAAAGCTGTTCTGTACCACAGATTGCCACGTTTTCTGTGTCACTGCAAAAGGACTACGGGAAGCCAGCTACTAAATTAGGACTGAGTGTGAGAATTATCTAAAATTCTGACCCATTTTAAATTTTAAGACCATGGTCTACCGAAGAAGACCATGAGAAATGACAGGCCCTCAGAGGTGTACCCCACAGGGAAGGAATAGTCAATTGTCCATCAATGGTCAGACTGGTCATAATAACTGTCAGGTTAAGAACTGCGCTGAGAAAGACTTGGAATAAGTGGAGATTAATCGTGAGTTCACAAGATTAGTTTTGATGAAGAAGGCCCTTCGGCCTATTTAGAATACATTAGAATATAAAGCACAGAAATAGGTCACTCGGCCCAACTGGTCTATGCCAGTGTTTATGCTCCACATGAGCCTCCTCCTCCCCTTCCTAAACTAAACCTTCAACATAACCTTCTATATCTTTCTCCCTCATGTACCTATCTAGCTTTCCCTTAAATATATCTATGCTATTTGCCTCAACAACTCCTTGTGGTTTGATCTTGTGCCTCCATCCTAATTTCTTGATGTCCGCAGCATCAAGCTGTTTTTTTAAAAAAAATTAATCCAGCGACCTGGCCTCTACCACACTTCCTGGCAACCTCTTCCAGTGTTTCATGGAAAACAAAAAAACTTCCTGGAGTCTGTCTTGAAATTGCCCTTTGCAACTCCAAACCAGTGTCCTCTTGTTCTACTGCCTTGGTGCGTCTGAAAGTATTGTTCTGGGTTTACTTTTCTAATCCTAATTAAGATCAAATACGCCTTTATAAGGTCCTCTCTGAGACATCTCTATTGTTCACTGGAGTGCAGTAAATATGTTTGGATTTCTTGCTCTGGTCACTAGATGGAGCACTTTATCAGTGCTTACCCCTCTCAGCACTCGGCTTTCTTTTAGCTGGAAACAAAAGGTAGCAAATTTCAAGACTAAATGGTCTTGTCGTCCAAGACTAGGTGGCGTTTCAGATCTAAAGCTGCTGCAGTGGTTGTGCAGAAAGCTGCCCAAAAATCAGCATAAAGATAATGAGAAGAGAGAAAGGATTGACAGACCTGGTACTGGATGTAAGAATGGACTCGCTCCAACATCCCTTCACAAGTAAATTCATATGGAAGATAAGGTTCAACCTAGAGACCATAGAAAGCAGAGTTTTCAGTTAAATATATACAGAGTTAGATATTATAAATCACATCACCTATTGAATAACACTGTACCTCAGTTTGTGCATAATTTCCTGTATGAAAGCTTGCGCTAACACATTGTCCATTCCGTGCAGTGGACAACTCAATTCATTAACCAGAAACAAATGGCAAATTGGATTGCGTTTCCCTAAAGCTGCTTTCAACATTCCCCGTAATAACTGAGGCATATCCGGAAGTGGGAATTCTCAATTATGCAATTCTCAACTCTCAATCACTGCATGTGGCAGTGAAGTATATAATGAACTATTTTCACTGTTGGCTATGAGCTCTGTCACATCAGCTCTACCTAATCTCCTCAGACAGATACCCAACAGCCACTCTGTCAAAGCAGAACAAATATGACTTTTTTAATTGAATGAGCCTGTCGCATGTTCTATGACCTTTAACTGCCAGCATAACTTTTATTACAACTATCTTAATATCTGTCAGTCAGTGAGTTGTGGAAGGATATGTCCCAAATCTTTTAAATACAGCAAAGGCTTAATGTACTGACATTGACAAAGGCTAAGGGTTCTGAAATCCTCTCCTTTTCATTGTGACACAGTGGTATACAGCTGACTTATTGCAGCTGCTTGACCAACAGTTTGTGCAAAAGAGCTTGTAATCTCTGCCAACAATACACTTACTGAGAAAGGTTCTACGCAGACAGGACTTTGAGCTCAACAACAACAACAAATTGCATTGGTAAAGCGCCTTTCACGTCGGGAGGACGTCCCACGTCGCTGGACAGTCAGGGATCTGAAGCTCAAATAACTCTCTTACAACATGTTGCTTTGGATCTGTAAAAATTAACTCAGCGTTGTAACTGATCTGTGAAATAAAGGCCACCACTCCCACTTCCGACTACATAGGTCGTCGCTTCCGTCACTTTTAGTGTCTGGCCGGCGAGGTGTGACCGCTCTCGGTAACATTTCTAGGACTGGTGAGTAAGCCAGCCAATCTATGCCGGAAGCCTGAAGTATGCAGTGGATCCACGGGGCACCCTATATAAGTACTCTTGCACTCCAATGAGATGTGTTATAACAGGGTAGTCGGTGTTTCTCATAAGGTAGTGTGGCTTTTTGAAATAAAGAAAGAAACAGCGGGTCCACTTCACCCGGTCAGGTTCCTGTTTGTGGGTATGTAAAGACACAGTACAATAGCTATGGTAATGTTTTATGAAACTGTGGCATATAGAATTCAGTTCTTGTTAAAAGGACATATGGTACCATTTGTTCTGTGATTACTGCGGTGGTTTGGCTGGTTCGAGTTTGAGCTTCAGCTCAAAGTTCTGGCTCTGTGGATTTCCAAGCCTTCTCGCTGTGAGACATACAGCCTGTGATCCTCACCTTCCACTCACTCAGCACCACTTCTGGTGGAATAATGGGCGTCACTGACTGGAGAACAATTCATGTTATATCCTCTCACTTGAGGACGTATGTTCCCTCAGCTTTTAGCTTGACTTACAACCTGCAGTGCCGTAGACCCCTTAGGTACCAATATGAGCAAACGGCATCACTTGCACTGTCACTGAATCCAACCCACAGTTAATAACCTTAACTGGTGTTTGGCCAGTGCTCTGCCAACCCATTCCTGAGACCAGAAGTGTGTTGCAATCAGCACTAACTCTGTCACTAACAGGTTAACACAATGAATCACATTGCCATGCTATTTGCAGATGTTGGGGTACTAATGTTGCAGATGTGATTATTATTATTATTATTGCTGTGGGCAATAGTTCTGACGTCCGGAAACTCTTCCCTTCCCGCACGATCTCCGAAGGCGAAGGAACGCTGGATAAACATGCTGGACTGAGGTTCTGCTTGCAGTCTTGCCCAGGAGTGTGGGTTTGTCACGCAAGAGTTACCCAGAACAAAAAGTTTAATTTATAACCACTGGGAACCCATTCTGTAAAAGTTGGCATGGCGCCATGCATGCTGTGCAAGCCTTGTCACTTCTCCTCAGGCTGGTATTTTTACCGTCCCTGTGCTAACCCCTGAAAGTGCTCGAGTGTCTACCTGATTTGTTATGCTAATTACAGAAGAATGGCACAAATTATGTACAAGCGTGTTAATGGCAGCAGCCACACACCCACAGGGTGAACACAGCATTCTGTGCAGCCTGACAACGAGGGCGTATTATTATCATAATAATAATCTTTGCATTTGATAGAACTCCTTTTGGGTGAGGAGGACGTCTCAAAGCGCTTCTCAGGCTATACTACAAAGTGGAGGGACTGTGCATTTTAAAGGCAAACATAGCAGCCAATTTACGTACAGCAACGTGCCCACAAACAGCCAAAGGGATTGGAAAGGGATAAATTACATCATTGTGGACCTAATCTGACTTCTGGAGAGACGTAGTGAAGAATTTATGGGGTGAAGGATGCGCTGTGTCATGTGATAATTATATATCTCTGGTAGGTGCTTGGAACCTTCCTCCTTCCCTCCCCCTAGACTTCATTGAAGTGGTTTAATTCAAAAAGCCAATTCGCATCAGTACATTCATCTGGTTGTCAGTGTCTATTGAGAATACCAACTCAACTCAACTGAACTCAACCTTAAAAGCCAAGCGCCACAATAAAAATGTTGTCTTTTGGTAACATGCACTCTCATCCTCCTCTACAAATCATTGTCAAAACCCAACACGGAAACGCTCATCTCGTAACATTCTGCTCTGAGATCGGACAATACCTCGGTTGCTAAAATTGTTCTGACAACAGAAGCTAGTTCTTCAGTGTTGTTGAAGTTTACAGTCCAGACATGTGGTTTTCCAATAAAGTGCTCAGTGTAAGGATGCTGAGAGGAGACCTGAAAGTGAAGAGGAACAGTACAATCAGCACTTGGTCTCTATTTTTCTACGTCTCTATGTTTCTCCCACAAAATACACAGTCAATTCACTTGACAGTATATCCAGTGAAGCACTTTGAGCTTTCTCAAAGACATGATAAGGCACGATATCAAATGCAACGATTATTATTATTATTTGCTGGTAACAACCTGTTACAAACTAAACTTTTATGATTTTGTTCAGTGGCTGAAATTAGCTGTGCATTGACTGAGGAACAGATGGGGTTATCTAACCCTTTGGGGATGCTCCAACATACGAGGTAGTGTCAATTAATCATTTCCCCTTTATGGCATGGCAGGGAGATCTTTTCCAGTTCTTCCCCTATATCCCTTAACAATAATAATCCTTGTCCATGCTCTAACACCACCAAAGAGCTTCACGGCATTTAACTGTAAAGTGTAATGACTGGGTATTTATCGGCAAACTATTTTTACTTCCGAGATGATTATCCAGCTCCTCACTGTCTTGCTATCAAACGGTCCTTTGACCAGGCTGTTGAGATGTGCAGTCAATTCTCTGGAACATCAGTCGTGCTGCCACTCTCAGTCTCAGTGTTAGTAGCACATCTCAGTGGACAACCCATTTCTAAACTAAGTCTAAGCAAACCTTCCACCTGGAAAATAGCAGTGTTGGTGCCAACAGTTCCAGTTAATGTATTCAGGACATTAAATCCGAGCAGTTAGTTTTTGTAATTGTGTCCTTCTTTTCAGGATAATAAAGATGTCGTATCAAACTAATTTGCCAATATTTACTGAAATGGTTTAACATTAACACAACAGAGAATAAGTATCGTGGAACTGAGAAAGGTAACAAATGCTTAATTTGGGTAGAACTGACTTTTTATTGTACCTTATTACTGGCTTTTAACTTTCAATGAAGGCAGTAACGATAACTCACTGACTACAGGAAGGCTAAGAGTTAGTCTAACAGTCAGTCAGCTTTCTTATCACGGCTCCTGAATGGAATCCAATGACACTAACTTGCTGACCATAGGAAAACAATCAATCCAGTTCAAGCAACAGCATGTAGTGGGAGCAGCCATCAAAGAGCTTTGCAGCATTTAACTGTAAAGTGTAATGACTGCGATAAACAGTATATACACACTCTCTCTTGCATTGCCAATTATTTATGCTCTTTCACAATAGCTGGTTCTATTCAATTGCATGTCACTTGCCTCTCGTGATGTGGGTTTTCCTCTGAAGAACTCGTTGTTTTTGGAGTTGTGCGGGGGGTTGAACCGGGGCTGCAAGAAAATGCACCCATTGGCAATGGCTTCCAGAGGGGCAGGACCTTCATACGGGAAACCCAGCCCGATGAAGAGCTGGAGAAAGAAAAAAGACAAACGACTGATACAATCACGTTCGAGCGAAGACAGGAAGTCGGATGATAAGATCAGAAAATCACGAAACACTGGGGAAGTTTCCTTGCTCCCCACCCCTCTGTTTACCTAGCAGTAAGTAGGAACCCTGTTGTTAGTCGATTGGTGTATCGCTTTTCCGGGAGTAATAATTCCGTCAAAAAAAAGAGAATAATAAATTGGTCACTTCAATCCACGACCGTTTGTGGGACACAGCTGTGTGCAATTGTCTGCCGTGTTTCACCCACACAATACAGTCAATTCACTTTTAAGTATATTCCGTAAAACGCTTTGAGACGGCTCAAAGACGTGATGAGGCACTGTATCAAATGCAAGGATTATTATTACTGGTTCAGATGATGAAAGCCTCTCAGCCTATATGATCTCATTGTTCCAGAATACTCATCATACTGTCTTCCCAATACTTCATCAAGCTGTTTCGTAAATGAGTCCGTTGGCTCATTCATTCTTCCTGGTAAGCCGTTCCAAGTTCCTCCATGTTTAAATCACTGGAATGTTTCCCATTTTTCCAAATGAAACTTTGATAAGAACCAAGACTGAACAATTCCTCAGATTAGGGTCATGTGTTGATGTGTACTAATGGACAAGTTATCATGTTACGTTAGTGCACATTGTTGATATCATTACACTAATCAACATGAAAAATCTGGCAGGCTGAAGTCAATTTTATCCAATTGTCCAAGTATCAGTTGATCAAAACCCGAACAAATTGTGTAGCTAATTTATCAACGGTTTCAGTAGAAATGATTAAACTGTTTTAAAGGAGGAAATCATAAGAGTGGCCAAGGCACATTGCCTCTTTGTGGCAATAACACCAGCATATTTTTTTAAATAGAGTTTTTTGTTTGCTAAAACAGCCAAACACACTCTGTGCCTAATTTGGGGTTGCTGGTAATGTCACATAGAACTCTGAAATAGCCAGGGGGCTGCTGGTGTCTGGAATATACACAACTTAAACTGTCTGTGGTAGGATATGTGGTGAGAGGAAGGAATTGGGATTGGACTATTTAGCATCATTGGATCTGCCAGCACAGGATTTGATGGACCAAGTAGCCTAATTTTTGTGCCCAATTAACTGCTGTGTTTCACCCACAAAATGTACAGTCAATTCAGTTTACAATATATTCTGTCAAGCGCTTTGAGATGTCTCAAAGACGTGATAAGGTGCTATATCAAATGCAAAGATTATTATTATTATTATTTTACATTGTCATTTTTCTGATTCTAGTATAGCACAGGAGTTTACATTCAGCTAAAATAGCCATCGATATAGGCTGGCTAAGGTACAAATCGCTACCAATTTATCATACCGTTCCAATCATGACTGACAAATAAACAGGAGAGCGAGTTTACCACAACAACTGGAACAGGTCAAGATAAGATAACTTTGAGTGCTGTTGTGCGCATCAGAATATTTAACCAAAGTTATCATTCTATGATAGAAGCGGCAGAATAACATCCCTTGGAGCTAGGTGAGATCAGGAAGAGTTAACAGAGCTCAACATGCTATTCAGAGATTAAGCATCGGAAAGCTGGAATCAGGTAGCTCAGGCAAGTTGAATAATTCCTGCATATTATTGCTCGTAATAAAAGATTATTGATACAGTAGTTGCATGCAGTGCACATCATTTATTCTTATTCCAACAGGGTCTATTATTCGATAGGAATCAGTGTACAGTCCTGTGGTATCAAGAGAGATTGGGTACTGCATTCTTGACATATTTATGAACCAACATAATGCACCAGTGTAAATCTGCAGTCATCTTGTCTCGTTCCTTACTTAACTGTAAATAAAATATTTTTTCAAATCAAGTTCGAGTTATTTTGATGCCATTGGCTGACTCTTATCAACTCAGAGAGTTGATTACCGTCAAACTTCCTACTGTATTGACTATTGAATATCATTAGCTTTTGTAAAAGAAATTAATAAACATTGTTAATTTAGCAGCTTCATTAAAATGTAGTTGTCGTCAGCTAAGAAGATACTGGGAGGTTTTGTGTGAATTGAGCTCGGAGATTTCAAACAGCCTTTTTCAATTTGATATATAAAAAAAGTGCTTCACCACAAAATGATAGATTGGTGGATTGTTTGATTTACAGAAGTAAAAATTATTTTGTCTAGTGAACCAAAGCTTTGTTTCAAAAGTGCATTAGCACTGCTGGGCGGGAACATGGTAATTAACTGTGCTGAAAATTGAACCCAATAACAAATCACAGTTAATTATCGTTTAATAGTCTTCTCAGTAGGTTGTGCTTCCGAACCCGTTTAAAATCTAACCCAATGGATAAATTGCACCTCTGGTGCATTACGAGAGAACTGCATTCCCGACATTTTACCATACGCGAAAGACACTATAATAATAATAATAATCCTTGCATTTGATATAGCACCTTATCACATATTCGAGACGTCTCAATGCGTTTCACGGAATATACTATCACAGAAATTGACTGTGTATTTTGTGAGCGAAATGCATAATGCTCTGATATTACTAAATTCTTGTAATGTACTGTGGAGATGTCTCCTATTCCCCACCATATCATATCATATTGTGGGAAGTGCATCCAGTTTCCTTGGAGATCTTTGCGTGTGTTTGTGTGTGGTTGGAAAGGAGCTGGAAATCCTCTGTAATCAATGGGATCCTCTGCCTGTGAACCAGTCTTTCCTCCCCCACCCCCCGCAGATTAGATTTATCTGAATTAAAGCTGTACTGGAAGCCAAACTCTGAATCCATTCATATGTTTCTATGTTTCTCTCTATACTTTTGATGCTGAGCTCCTGGTGTATGCTGTCGGGTTTGCACTACATTGGACAGTTGGGTACCATTAAACATGGCACCCAGTATAGCACCTCTCACATCCCCCGACGTGAAAGGCGCAATACAAATGTAATTTTGTGTTGTATTGAGGTCACATCACACAGCCATGCTGGCATTTACTATTTTATATTTACTGTTTCAGCCTTTCTGCACCACTCTCTGGTACTCCATCCTCGATCCTTCCTCAATCAAGTTCCATCTCAAGATCTACTTCTTTGACTGCACTTTCGGTCATCTTTCCCCATTCCCCACCCCCCCCCGGCCCCACCCTTAGCTCAGGGTCCCGGCCAATACTGTTACTCACTTTGGTACGTCCCCTTCAACATACAAGGTACGATATAAATGCAAATTGTATTGTATATAGAAAAACACCAGCTAGTAGAATTACTGTGGGATTAGATTTACAATGTACTATATTCGGGTGTCAAATCTAGACAGCATTTACAACAGTAAGACTCAGATTTAATGGGTTTACACAACACTATTTGCTGAGAATTCACTTTGGCACAATATTTATCCTCCATTGCTTTGCTTGCTGTAGGAATTGGAGTGCTTATCGGCATTAGCACATTCAGTGCTGAAGAGGTCGCTGTACACTGTAGACTTCATCATGTTTGCCTAATCTCACAAGAATCACAAAAGAAACAGTAGCACTATTCTGTTCATTTATTTGTGAAGAAAATGGGGGCAGGTTTAACCAATGATTCTGTGACTATTCGAACTCTCACAGCTTGCAGCTACCAATAATAGTGTGTGAAGAGTCTATTGTGGGACACACACACCAGGAAATATGACTTTACACAACAACTTGCATTCATATAACGCCCTTCACATCTCCGAGCCCTTTACAGAGATGGTGACTCACACCGAGCAGTGGTAAAGTCGCGGGAAAGGTGACCGTAGGCACGGTGGAAGAGATAAGATTTTAAGCAGGTTAACTTTTTCAACTTTCATTTTGAGTAATTGAGCATTCAGTTTGAAAGATGAATGCCAATGAATGGCGTCTGCGAATTTCCATGCTTCAGGGAAAATAATGACTGAATGACTTTTATGATGATCAACTTTCAAATGATAGATGCCACTTAAAACATTCCTCCCTTTCTCTTTCTTTGGTGATCTTAATCTAGCAATGAAACTCAGTAATGAATTTGAAAATAAAAGAGCATTTTTACTTCCCAAATCAGGTTCTGTGGATGTGTTTTCAAAACCATTCCTTTACAGTTATGATATGATCACAAGAAATATGACTTTGAACATTTAATGGATCTTATTAATGGGCTCACCTCAGGAATGGCTGATAACCTGTCACATCAAACCAAACCATTGATAATATTTTACATTGCATTCAAAGTTCATTAAATGAATAATACCCACTGAGCTGAGTTCGAATGAATGTACATAGCAAAGCAATAAAATCATAATAATAATCCTTGCATTTGATAAAGTGCCTTATTCAAGACGTCTTAAACTGCTTCACAGAATATACTGTAAAGTGAATTCACTGTATGTTTTGTGGGCAAAACGCGGCAGCCAATTGCGCACAGCAGTGTCCCACAAACAGTCGTGGATTGAGTGACCAAATTATTATTATTATTATTTTTTATTGGGTCCAATATTTTATTCCGCTCATTAGATCCCAAATAAAAAAATGTCTGTCTTCTGGGTTATCAGGTTGCTGCTGAGTTTGGCTCGATGAAATATTTCTTGTCATATCAATTTATCATAATGAAATGATCCACAGTCATTACTTTCACTGAAATCTGCAAACTTAGAGATGGTGTTCATGGATATTCATGGATATACTCTCAAGCTTGGTGAGGGAAAGTTATATAATGATAATAATGATAATAATCATTGTATTTAATATAGCACCTTCTCACTTCTTCAATCCATCTCAAAGCGTTTCACAGAATATACTGTAAAGTGAATTGACTGTATAGATTGCGGGAGAAACACGGCAGCCAATTGTGCACAGAAGTGTCCCACAAACAGTTGTGGATTGAGTGATCAACTTATTATTATTATTATAATTTTGTATTGAAAGAATAATTATGAACAGACAGTTCAGATGTAACTGATTTACAAAGTACAACGGTGTTAAGGAATGAGCCATGATTGGATAAGTTATACACTTATACAAGTGTATAATATTTTAAATAGGATTGAAAAAGTACGCCCAGAACAATACTTTAGGAGGCCCCACGACAGGTTTCGGTCACTATGCCCCCTCCCACTGGAATTTTCTCCTGTAACCTCTCCGCCTCACCTCTTCCCTCGCTGGTTTGAAATCCAACTTGACCTACCTGTTTTTGGCCATTGTGTGCCCAGCTAAGGCTTCAGTTTGGCCGTTGTATAAAGAGGTTTGAGATGTTTTCCTGATGTAAAAGGCACTGTGCAAATGCAGAATATTTTTGATTGCCGTTAATTATCGAATATCTTCCTTGTAAAGGCAAGGATGCATGCTTGTTTCTGTCTGTGTTCATGAGATTCAACGAGGAGATGACTGAATTTATATTATGATTGACCAGGAAGATTTAATGCCCGAGGATAATTATACACCTTGTTACATAATCACCAATGAGGTCTCAAGAAGATTTGTAAACATTCATAAATTATAAATAATCATATATATTATGTATAATTATGATATATAATTCCGCTGCGCAGCTTTCCTTCAAAAATTAACAGTCCTATTCAGCCAATCCGTTTCAGTATTTAAATGATGAGTCAATGGATGTCAAAAATAATTGGAGTGAGTTCTGCTTAGAAAAGATTTCCCTTGAGCTATTTTCAAGAGAATTTCCTTCCATCATTTAAGCACAGGCTATTCATCTTCACATAGCTTTCTTTACTAGTGAAGGAAGAAGGGCAGTATCAAAAAAGGAGAGGTACATATCTTGACATTCAATGCAACATTCACTAACCACTACGCACAGTGACCTAAAGATCAGTTTGATATTGAGCAACTCTCATTCAAGTACAAGCAAAGGCTTGACACGAGTTTGAGGCATATGAACTTGAATTCTCTTTGTGAAAAATTCACCCCTCACTATCAGATGAAGCTCTTTAAAACACCACTGGTCTCTGTAAATCATACATCTTTGTAGTAAGTAATGTAACAGCTCTGGACATGTATCAAAGTCATCCATTCACACCTAATGGTTACTATTAAATGGAAAATATTTTAATGTAGGCCTGATATTATAAATTCCCTATCCATAGATCTGATATTCAGGTTGTACCACAATTAATCCAATAATTCACGGGCAGTATGGAAAGTAACACTTAATGAGCATCAGCGTCTCTCCCCCAAAAGGCTGTGGATGTTGGATCCTTTAAATTTTCAAGACTGAGGTGGATAGATATTTCTTAGGTAAGGGTAGATAATTGGAGTTGATGTACAGATCAGCCATGACCTTGTAGGATCGCAGAACAGGCTCGAGGGGCAAATGGCCTACTCCTGTTTCTATGTTTCTATATAATTAACTTAAAGGGCTTCCCAAGGCTCCATCACAAACCATATGTCAGAATAAATCTAATCAGTGGCAGTGATATATGTTAAAGATATATCACTGCCCCTGATATATAAAAGAATGCACTTATAAAATATTGCTCATTCATGAGGATTAGTAGAAAAAAACTTGGTCTAAATACATTATTACAGGGAGCATTCAGACCAGAAAAATAAAATGCACCTCATCAATATTGTCAGGAATAAAAACAAGAAATGAATGGGATCTTTTAAACTCGAGCACACAGTTTTTGTCAACCAAACTGTTTTGAAAAGCACAATTTAGCCTTCGTTATCCGAGTGCGTGCTGAATTCAGAGATGGTTTGTTATTCTGCAGGTTTCGCTTCTGTTTCAACATTGCAGTATGTAGGTCGAGAAATTAACTAAGTGTTACACAACATGTTACGGTTGTATAAAATAATTAACAGCTACAAAGGCCGTTTAGTAGTCAGAAGGTTTCTTGGTATGCTTTGATATATTTGGTATCGATTTTCTGTTAGTGCAGCCAAGGTAGTAATCTCAATGCCCCAAGTTTTTCTGTGCTGTCCACAACCTACACAGAATAGCCAGCCAGCAGAGGGTTTAGTTGCCATTATTAAAATAGACTGTGTTGCAACTGGCTTGCTTGCTTCATGAATCTTTTTTGATATCACTTGAATGTTTATTATCAGTTTGATGGCGGATGCCAAGATGATGGACTAGCCATTAAACCTCGCGGTAATAATTCACAGCGGCAGGAAAATACATGACATCGGAGGGATGAATGAGGTTTAAAATACATTCAAATCCCAGTGCAAAACACTCAGAAAAACCTCTTGATTAATTGATTCCTAAATTTGCCACATTGATAACATCTTCATTTTCCAACACGAATATTCGCTGAATGAAGACCTATGAATATAAACTAGGGACAACAAAATGTTCGTCAAAAAAAAAAACCTGCATAAACTTTTGACATAATATACAGTGGAGAAAGATTCCTGGTTGGGTGAACCCAGCTTTCTGATATTGACCTCAATTTGACAGAGGAAATGTTTCATTTGAACACTGAACTCTTCCTTTAAATGTGTCCTTTATCTGTCCTTTAACATTTTATCTATATTCTCCTGCTATGGAAATCCATTGATTTAAACCAGAACAGAAAATAAACAGTCTATTCACTTTACAGTATATCCTGTGAAACACTTTGAGACATTTCAAATATAAAGCGCTATATTTAAGAAGTCCAAGCCACTACCCCATGTGAAGGGCGCTATATAAAGGCAAATTGATGTAATAATAATAATAATAATCCTTGCATTTGATATAGCGCTTTTCACGTCGGGAGGACGTCCCAAAGCGCTTCACAGAACACACTGTAAAGTGAATTGACTGTATATTTGTGGGCGAACGCGGCAGCCAATTGCGCACAGCAATGTCCCACAAACACTCGTAGATTGAAAATGACCAATTTATTATTGTTTTTTTTTGGAGGGATTATTATTAGGCTCTGTGTGGAGTAAGGAAACTTGCCCAAGGTTTCGCCCTCTGCCTGGAATTGAACTCAGGTCTCTCGCTTGCAAAGCGAGTGCTCTAACCACTGAGCTACAGGACTCCAATTTTGATGTATATCAAAAGCAAGGATTATTATTGTTTTGAAATACAATTGCTATTATACAGAGAAGATACACTACCAAAGATGATGATAAATACCCTGACAGATTTTAACCTGCTGCTTAATCTTGATCACACAGGGTAGGAAATCAAACCAATAAACCAGCATTAGATGTGAGGTTAAACCCAAGTTTACCTCTAATCGGCATTGTGTTCAGCCATGAACTTCTTACAAATGGCTTTATTGTTCCCGAGCTGGAGAAGGGAACTCATTAGTCACGGTTTCTAATCTTAACTGCTGTCCAGCAGCACTGGAAATACATAAATATACATCTTGAAGAGAATGTTAAGCTCTTAAATTACTTGCTCAGCCTCTGTGGCCAGGTACAAACAAACCTCTTAGCAAAGTTATTAATGTCAACAAACCTTATCTGTTTTTGTGAGATTCCACGGCAGGATTGAACGTCTGAACATTAAGAACATTGGAGTGAAAAATACGGCACATTCCACATTCCTGATAAATGTGGTAATTCCACGTCAAATCTGTTACGAAACGTCACATTTTTCAGCCCGTGATGTGGAACGATCAGATGGTAATGGTAAAAGCAGGATGCAAAAACATCGCCAGTATTAATAGGGCTGTGAACAGTGAAGGGATCGTTACCTTTGCTTTCCTCAGTAATCTCTGTAGCTCATGTTGAGGAAGCAAGCCGTGGTTTTTCACAAATACGGGCAACTCTGGTGGCCAATGTGTCTCATAGTAAACCGTTGCGTGGATCTCCATGTACTGGCTGATAATTTCAAGATACTTTGCCTTTCCCTGAGGAGAAGAGAATTAATTATAGGCAAACATTTCCAATGGAACTATTTCTAGGAGAATAGAATCGCACATTACATTGAAGCAGCACAAAAACTGTCTCGGACCGAAATCCGGCTCTTCTTGCGTTTTTCTGATTATAAATAAACAGTCAATTCACTTTACAGTATATTCCGTGAAGCGCTTTGAGACGGCTCGAAGGAGTGATAAGGCGCTATATCAAATGCAAGGATTATTTTATTATTACGCTACATTAAATAATACCTAAAAGACTGGCTATCCCCAAACACAGAAAGACTGGTGCTATGTTGAATCTTGATGATAGACAGGAATAGATTCAAATGTAGCAATCGAGCAATAAGACAGTAATAATGAGGCTAGCAGAGGATCCAAAAACAGTAAGCAGAAAAAAACCCCAATGCGAATAGCTTGCCTTGCCAATTACATTGATTAGATCAGTAATAATGGGAAAAATGCATTCAAAGCTTCTGTAGAACATAACCACAGTTCTCAAGATTTGATCTTGTATTTAATGGAACTATTAATGAGACCCTGGGAATAATATATTCCTGCTTACACAGTAAATCTTTCCAACAAATAGAAATAAAATGCATTAATAGAAATAAAATGGTTTAATATTTTCCTTACAAAACCATTTAGAAACACGGTAGTTATAATAGCATTTCTCCCCCGGTACAATGCCAGCTAAGAGAATAATCAAAGCACCATTGACCTATTCACTTATTGAGCACAAGCCAAAAGCCTTCTTATTGTTGCTCAAGTACATGTGCTAAGCTCTGATTTTCAATGATTCAAAAAAAACTATTATTTGCGCTTTGTCTTCACCAATAGAAATAGTTAGTGCTTGATACAAAATTGAAGAATTGTTCTGCATAGAAGATACATTTCATCCTTAATACAGGTCTAGACTGCAGGGCAAAAAACATATTTTCTAGTTATCTGTACAAGTGCTTAATGTTAGTGCCCATCAAAGTGGAAAAGGCAGGCTTAAGATAGCTTTGTAGAATTGTTATTTGAGGATTCTTCTTACCATCAATTCTACTTTGGATCACATAAAGTCAAAGTGCAGATCAATCGGGTTTCATATAAAGAAAGCAAGAATGATTTACAGAGCATAAATGAGTCCATCTGAGGGCAATCCTTAATTAAATTATGCCTTATCAAGCTTTTAAACAGCTTTAAAAATGACTACGAATCAATTAATGTCATATATGTGAATATCTCTATTAATGCAACTTTTATTGACTGAATCTCCATTTTTAATACGTATAAATAATGAAAAGACTTGCAAATATAAGTAATAACTGAAGACTACATTGTGCAGCAATCGTTATCTGAATATACAGTACCATGTTCCCCCTATAAAGATCATCAGAGTTCACATGGATAAATTTGCCAACCTTAGTGTGACCTCATGAATATAAGTGGTGCACAATAATAAAGCAAATAAAAGCATAGATGGGTAAAATTTGCCCTATTATATTATTCTATAAACCATGGTTCAAATTGATGTAAATGTTAATTTTTGCAGTGTTCAGTTACATAATTTGACAACAATTGCTTGTGAAGTGCTTTGAGACGTCCAAAGTTCTAGGAACTATATCAAACCACAAGGTATATTATTATTATTATTATTTTTGAAAAAGCTCAATGGATATGTCTTCCTGCTTAGCCTAGAGGGTGCTGAGGACAATTGTAGCATTCCTGCTACAGACTGGGTATAATAATATAACAATAATCCTTGCATTTGATATAGCGCCTTATCAAGTCTTTGAGACATCTCAAAGGGCTTCAGAGAATATACTATAAAGTGAATTGACTGTATATTTTATGAGCAAAATGCGGATTGAGTGACCCATTTATTATTATTATTATTATTTTATCCAAAAGGTATTCAACCTTCTGGGTCGGTATGGTTCGGTTTCCGTTCCAGGCTGTGCCTTTAATCAACTGAACCACTGGGAGTGCAGGTCACCAATAAAAAAAAAACAATTTGTTTTCATCTTCACAGACAATCGCCATCTCGATGGTGGAATCAACCATTCTGTGAGCACTTAGCAAGTTATCGCCTGACTGAAAACATCACTCAGTTGGATCAAACAGGTTATCCCCTCTCCTCCCTATAAATTAATTTTGCATAATGTGATTTCCACCTCAGGGTCTCTTATACAGGAGTTGCAATGTCAGTTAAAGATCATGTTAGGAGAATTACTGAGCTGTTATTTCCGCCTTTGAGCTGTGGCTTTAAGCCCATTCTGTTTGATATAGAAATCAGGATTGGAAAAAAGAGGAACAGCTTATCAGAGCTCAGGCACTGTACTGCCATGAGATCAGGAAAACTGTCAATTCGAATTTGACCAGATGAGTTTACCTGTCCTTACACTGTCAAGCTGTGAAGACCATCAACGACGACGACAACAACTTGGATTTATATAGCTCGCTTCACAGAGTAGCGTCACAGAGTACTTAGCAATGGTGGAGCTTGAAGCTGAGGTGAGGGTCGAGGTGACGAGGAAGGTCTTTAAGCTTCCTTCCAGATCTTCACAATATTGATTGCACAACCCTCATCAATATCCCTCAAAATAACTTTTCCACTGACATCCAACCCACAACCCCTGTAATATTCATAACACATCCCTTTAAAATATTCATTCCATGTCCTTTCTAAAGTGCATTCCACAGAACATACAATATTCATTCGCTGGACCTTATAAGTAATGAATTCTAGGCGACTTATTTAACCACCTGAGGCAAAGTTCTGCGATATGTTTCTAAAGCACATGTTACAGCTAGTCAAAGAGCTGACTTGATATTTTTAGTGGTTGCTCAGCTGACCTCCATAATATCCATCTTTATTCACCACCTTCATTATAAATGCTGGCCACTTGGTTTCCAGAGATGGATTCCCATTTTCCTGGCCATACATTAGCCTTTGTGTTTCACAGACTATTGAATTCTCCTTGAGTATATTAACGTCTATGACCTCCAGCCACATTACTAACCTGATATTATATCTATCTGCTTCTTTCTATTTTCAGAATGAATTGCTGCAGCTTTTCTGGTTTTCCTGAGAGTCTGTGTCACAAAACCACCGATCTGTGGAGAAAAACCTCTTCCTACTTTCAGTCTCACCTAAAGCTTGGTCATTGTATACTTGTGTTCCTTCATTCTGTGCTTTCTTGCATGTCATTATCTTTACCTCAGTGTCTTAAAGACCTTGATTTATTAAAACAACTCTTCAATGGTTTAAAATACTCAAAAATCTATTTTCACTGCTGGCAAATTCAATCTCTCTCCCTAACCGGAATAAACTGTTCCATCAACCTGTGGTCCTACAAAAGCAGTGAACCAAATGGAGGTCAGGAATAAATCACCAGATGATCTGTGGACTGTAGCAGGTGAGCTGAATTACATGGATTGATATTTGAACATATAGGAACTCACAAGAATTGAGCTGTAATGTAACTAAAATACTTCCTCATTTTCATACTCGATTTATTGTCACATAGGGTTAAGGTCTCAAATCACTATACACAGAGGGTGCTGGACACGAGAAAAGAGGATGGGTGGAAGAGAGGGTGGGAGAGAGGCGGTAAGGGTGAGGGGAAGGTGCCAGCAATGTTGAAGAGGTAGGTTTTCAGGGAGCCTTTAAAGACAGAAAGAGAGGGGTGAGGCAGAGGGATTTAGGGAGGGAATTCAGTTAACTTGTTACAGTTGAGTCATTACTGTATGCTAAGTGTTAGGACAAAATTAGCGATGGGGGCTAAGTGGTGAGCACTCTGAATGAACAATGCTTATAATAGACTCAACAACATCCAGTCACATGAAGGGTGTTGAATAATTGCTCGTGTTATTTTGGTTCTGCACAATAAAGTGACGTTCAGTTCTTCTGATTTAAGTAAAGTAGCTCTGTTTAGCCGTTTGTATTTTTGTAAACTGCAGTTATCCACTTGGACTGGATGGATCATTGGCAGATCCAGATAAATGCAAGGTACCTCAAACAGGACATAAACACAGGAGGCATCTTTACTCTTTCAACGTAGAAATGACAAGGGAAAACTACCCACCTTCCACATCGCAGGGTCTTTTCCATAGACAATTGCTATATGGCTGACCTTGTTTGATGGAGGAGCTTCTCTCTCAGTATCGTTCAGTATCTCGGCAACAAAACCCATGAATGAGTTGTCTGGACTATGGGCTAGAATAGAAGGAAGCAAATTGGATGCATTGTGTTGAGCAGCTAATCTTCTGTGCAGGAGAAGCAACATGTCAAAAACAGTTCAACCCGAACAAGGAAAAATTGTGCACTATGCAAAAAAGGTCAACTCTGTGATCAGTGTACTACTATAGGCTTCACTCCATCCACATAACACTCATGTTTCAACATTAATAGAATTATTTATTTTAAAAAAAGCAATATTTGGCACTTACGTTTCTGGCGGAGACAAGAGAAAGTGGAAAAAGGAACTTTACTTTCAGATATGTGGTGAAGTGCAATAACTTGTATTACTCTGTGGGCATTATTGCTATTTTCCCAAACTCTTCATCTTTCACTACATCGATCCCAAGAGATCACAAGAGAGATTCAGATGAAGAAGGCCCTTAGGCCAACTTATCATGGAACCAAAGATATATACTGCGCAGAAGAAGGACATTTGGCCCATCGAGCCTGAAGCAGCTCGCAGACCAACCTGTCTATTCAATCCCACTTCCCTGCCCTACCCCCAGACCCTTCAAACCTCTATCTTTCATGTACCTATTTACTTCCCCCTTGAAGCACTCTGGGATGCTACCCTATGTGAAAGGTGCTACATAAATGCAAGTTGTTGTTGGAAACCCACAATAGACTCTGTTCCTAACATCTTATTTGGCAGGCCATTCCACATCCGAACAATTCTTATTCCGTTTAAATCAAATCTGGATTGAAGAATTTTCCAGAATTCTGTATGATCTGCACACACTAAAGCAATGACCTTAAGGCAACGAGCATGAGAAATTCCAGGCCTTTTAATGAGTTGTCACAAAGTTGATTTGTTTAGGAGGTGTGTGTTGAGTATTAACACCGGCATGGACTACTTGGCCTGAATGATCTGTGTCATTCTATGGGCTGGACAATGGAGGACAAGAAAGCACGATTTAATAGGTTTGATCATATTCTATCAACTTCACCTTTGAAATAAGCCACAGTGAGGAGGGTTGGTTGGTGGAGCTCCTCCAGCTTGTTTTGTTCATCTACACAGTCACTACACAAGACGTTTTAATAAAGTGGTATATCAAACACCATATAATTTACATTTACATGGTACCTTTCATTCGGGAGGATGTTTTATAACACAAAGATTATTATTATTTTGTAATAAATAACACAAGGACTGTGAATTTGATAAGGCGCTATATCAAATGCAAGGATTATTATTATTATTTCACCCTCTATGTGCTTGTGTATCGGTAACAAAGTTTGATTCAAACGCTGCTCTCCTGAATTCACAGTGCAATCAATACTTTGATTGTTGGAAGATTAAACATTCAATTCTACAATGAGCCAACCACAAATCCAGCCGTTACCTTGGAAGCTGTATCCAGTTCAGGCAGTTCAAAGTATTTTCTGAGTAATTTATTACAGAGGCAGCAACAGCCACCTAATTCACTACCATTTGTTTTGTGGTCTATTTTTATCCTGCTACCTGCATCAATAATGAACATAAGACAGATTGCCCTGTATTGCCAGTTGACATCTAAATAAGAATGTAATAATTTTCCCTTCTCCAGAGAATCAACAATTAATTTACAAGAATTTGTTTTTTTTGCTACAGATTTTAACCTCTGGTTAATGTTTTCAAATACATCTGATTCCATAAATGGAAAGTTTTTTTTTTTTTACTTATGTCTACCCCATCAATCATAGTCAAAATGTACAGAAATGATCATATTCCACAACACTAAGTTTATTGCTTTCTGAGGATATTGTTTGCTAGAAATATTTTATTGAATTTTCCTATCACTCCTGCATCATAGATTGCAAGTGTTCCTGGTTTCTTACTTTCAGGGTTTTGGAAAAATAATGAAAGTTTTGACCTGGTTTAACAACAAAGCCTGGACTGTGAAAAGGGATTTGACTGATCAAGTCTACTCGTTCCGTCGATCATGTAGACATGGTTTAAACATATCATGCTTCCCAATCTGTCTCCTGGGGGGAAGTTTGCTACCTAGCTTGAATGACAATAATAATCACAATAAAAATAATCCTTGGTTTTGATGAAGCACCTTATTAGGTCATCAAAACATCTCAAAGTATTACTGTAGAGCAGTGGCAGACTGGCTCTGCAAAATGGCTTGGGATTGTGATGAAAAATAGGGGAGCTGCTTTGTGGGGGGAGCTCGATAGTCAATTATGGGAACACTCGGGAAATTTCCCGATTACCCATATAGCCAGTCCATCCCTGCTGTAGAGTATAGTAACTATGATAATAATCCTTACATTTGATAGGACATCTCAAAGCACTTCACGGGATTCAATGTAAAGGCAAGATTTTGCTTTGCTGCAGATACTGTAACTGTAATCCACAGAAACATAGCTTAATAAATTTCTGCCACCAAACTACAAAGGTTCTCAAGCCAGGACAGGCCAGAAGTAACAATGCTCTTCATCCAGAATCACAAATAATAATTATTAGTTTCTTTTAAGTGAGTCTTGCTTCCCTCCCTAACCCCCCATCGCAATTTTATCACTGAAATTTCAGCGATAGGAAGATGGTGTTTGAAACATTCCTGTTGCCTACTAATGACCAGTTTCTCCCAGAGCCATGTGCCACACCACAAATGAGTTCTAATGGTAGACACTTAAAATACTGTTCAATGAAATTCAAATCATCGTCAAATAAGAATAAGAAGAATCCTTGCATTTGATATTTGATACATAGCGCTTCACAAGATATACTGTAAAGTGCAGGGATTGTGTATTTTGTAGACCACCGCGGCAGCCAAATTGTGCCACAAAAACGTCCACGATGCTCACAAATAATTTCAACTGCAAAATCTGAAGGCAATGGCAAGTAAATGTGTGGAGCGGTGGCTGAGAAGGAGGCGCGACGTGCTTTTGTTCAAACTATTATCGGAAGCACTCAGCAATGTAGTTGAGAGGGTGACAGAAGTCAAAGGGAAAACCTATTACTATGAATCTACTTTAACTAGCCGCTGCACGGTGAAAAATGCAACCCATGTTGTTATTTTGTTTTTGTTGGGTAACTGCAGGACGAAAGCTTCAGAATTTATGTCATCTGTTCGTTCCACTTGAACTGCACGAAGCGCTGTGTATTTCCGTCTGCGCTGGGACACATCAAATGACTTCTTTCAGTTGTAAAACACAATTTTACAAATGAGATCTCAGCATGAAAGGCAACAGTTCTGGACCTAATAACCTGCCTGCCAATTCCAGCATCAGTTTGCTGACGCAGAAAATAATTCCCCCCCCCTCACCCACCACAAACCAAAGCTTCTGATTTGCCTTTTATTTCGCAGGTACCATCGCTGTATTTCTGAGCTCCAAGCGTACGGCAGAGCTAGGGTTTGAAATGAATGAATGACAATAATAACAATATAATAATACGCTAAACTCAAATATCACTTGGTCATTGATCTCATTGCACATTTGTGGCTGATGCAGGCCAGTGCCATCTTTTCTACGAAGCAGCAGTCATTACACCTCAATGTATAAAAAACCTTTGAGACTTTAGCTGTGATAAGGTGTTAGATGTATCGCAAGGATCAATATTTATTATTAATTGTGATGTAAGGAAAAGGGTAACAGCTGGCCGAATCACAGCCCTTGCTTTGAGAATCGAGTGCAAAATGATGAGGTTAATTAATACGGATCAAGATAGAATGCACTATTTAACAAAGGTTTAATTCTAAGGCATATTTCGGCTGAATTTGTTAATCCAGCATAAACGTCATTGAGTAGAGGTGATTGCCATACTCACAATGTTCAATGCCTTTCTTAGAAGCATGGTTAAAATGCACCACAGTGTCATATTTCACCTGCTGAGTGCCTTGTAATACAGTGCTGCATTAATAATAATCCTTGGTTTTGATTAATAAAAATCCTTGCCATTGAAGTAGTGCCTTATCAAAGCGCTTCACAGAGTATACTGTAAATGGAATTGACTGTATAGTTTGTTGGCAAAATGCAGCAGCCAATTGCACAAAGCCGTGTCCCGCAAACAGTCGTGGATTGAGTGACCAAATTATTTTTATTTATTTTGAAGGAATTATGGAAATAATTTACCCCCGGAAAAGCGATCCGCCAATCGATTATCAACTGGGTTCCTACTTACTACTAGGTAAACAGAGGCATATGGAGTAAGGAAACTTGGCCAGTGTTCCACCCTGCCGGGAATTGAACCCAGGTCCTCTCGCTTGCGAGGCGAGTGCTCTAACCACTAAGCTACAGGACTCCACCAAGTAAGATTACAGGAGACTGTACGATTCTAAATTTCATTTTGAAATAGAAAGAATCCTTGAAACACTTTCAACACTACTAATAAGTGAAAGACTAGACATTTGCATAACTGCAGCTAAATCTGTACCTTTCAAGTGCTCACATGAGAGGAATCAATCTCGTTGTCAGAAAAGCCGAATTTGGATGTGACCAATATTCCTCTTGACAAGGGAGTGATGTGTTACACATTATTGTTGAATGATGGAAATAAACTGCTCGTGGTTGTGATGGTATCAGAGAAATTAGTGAGCACTCAATCCTTTTTTTCAATTTGCATATCAGTGGGAGAAATTATAATTTCTATGATCCTGAAAGATTTTTGAAGTGCATCACCGATCACTGCGTGATGTGTAGTGACTGTGTAACTGTAGGCTAACACGGAATCCAAATCGCGCCAAGCTGGATCCGGCAACAAAGAAGTCAATGACCGTTTAATTGGAAGATTGATGGCCAGGACTCTAGGAGGAACTCCCTTCTCTTTTCAATCAGTGTCGCTAGTTCTTCAGCAGACAAATGGGACCATGGTTTAACATCTTGCCCAAAGATAGCATTTCCGACATTGCAGTGCTCCCCCCAAAACTGAACCAGTGTCAGCCTGGACTATGAGTTCAAAGTCACATGGCTTCAACTTGCAACCTTCTGACCCAGAGCGAGAGCGCTATTGAGTCAAGCTATTGCTAGTATTGCTAGTTTGTGATAAATGTCAATTATCCAAGAATTTACACTGCATCTTGTTAATCAGAATAAAAACATGCTTTGAGTTGAATGCGTTCTTTGTGCAGTATAGCTATCAGTAAATATAACTTGCTATAAGCTGCGGACAAAATTAACCAATTAATATAGACTATCATATTATTCACTTAAAAAATATGTTGATCAGTTCGCAAAATTAAACTATCATCTTTCATATTCTGCCAATTACAATTGCTCCAGCAGATAGCTGACAGTACAATCAGTTGCTAAGCTTGCATGCAATTGTCTATACATTTCAAGTGGAACGGTTATTCTATTAATAACTGACTGCAGCACATTAGCAATGCTAACCATCTGTAAGTAGCCGTGAGATACTGGAGATGCAGCGAATCTGGAAGAGAATCCAATGTACTCTGAAATTAGATTTTGTTTTCCCCCCCATGAAGAATTCACATTTTTATATTCAGAAGGCCATTGAATGGAGAATTTCAGTTAACAAAAATGACCTTTAAAGTAACTTTAACCTCCTCCACCGGAACGGTTGCTGCACAATCGCAATTTCCCTTCTTCAATCATTCTTATTAAGGAAACATTGCAGGATTTCCAATGAATTAGTTGACTGAGCAAATGTTTCCATTTGGTTGAAAAAGATCAGCCAAACGGTCACGGATTAGTTCAGTATAATCAGATACTGCAAATTGTGAAACACAGTTTGTCCTTTAAATTCCCTTATAAAATACAGAATGAATTTTCTCACAAAATATATCCCGCTGACTGAATTTTACTCAAATTTACTTTTCTTTAGTCCATCAGAGAATGTTCGCACATTGTTATCTCTGGCTTTTAAGAAGAACAGGCTTTTTCTCGCTCTTAATGAGATTTTTAGTTTTATTTTGCTGGTTTCTAAAACTCTCCCAATCTTCAGATTTGCTGCTTTCCTTGGCAGTTTTATAAGCCTTTTCTTTTAATTTGATGCTTTCCCTAACTGCTCTAGTTAGCCACGGATGAATTGCTTTCCCTATGGTACTCTTATTCCGCAAGGGAATATGCAACCGCTGAGAATTTTGCACTACATCCTTAAATATTTGCCACTGTTGGTCTACATTTTTACCTCTTAATCTTATTCCTCAGTCTATTTTACCTAAATCTTTCCTCATACCTACAAAATTAGCCCTATTTAAATTCAGGATACTTGCCTCGGATTTAACTATATCCCTGTCTAACTTAATGTAGAATTCAATCATATTGTGACACTCTGCCCTCGAGGAGTCTTAATACCTACCCTGCCAACTCGTCCTGTTTCGTTACACAAAACAAGGTCTAGGATGGCCTGTCCCCCAGTTGGTTCCTCAGCTGCTCTAGAAAGTTATCTCTCATACACTCAATGAACTCTTCTTCTAACCTACTTTTGCCGATTTGGTTTTCCCAATCTATGTGGAGGCTGAAATCACCCACTATTATCGCTTTACCTTTCCTACATGCTCCACTGATTTCTTGATTGATACCCTGTGCTACATTGTGATCGCTGTTTGGGGGTCTATAAACCACTCCCATTAATATTTTCTGCCCTTTATTATTTTTTATTTTTATTTCCACCTATATTGTCTCGACCTCCTGGTCATCGGATTTCAGATCCTTCCTCTCCACTGCTTTTATTTCATCCCTAATTAACAGGGCTACACCCCCACCTCATTTCCCGCAGTGCCTATTTTTCCTGTAAAGATGTCCCTAAACACTTCACAGGATATACTATATAGTGGAGTGACTGTGTATTTTGTGGCTGAAACAAGTGCTTTGCTCTGAGCAATGGGTTGTAAAACACTGACTCTTCCCCTCAAACGCACAAATACCAGATTGCACGATAGTATTTCGTAGTGAAGCATTTTGATCTTAGCCCACACGAGGAACCGTTTAATGGAAAATATGAGTAATAATAATAAAATAATCCTTGCATTCAAAATAGCGCCTTTCATATTGGGAAGTCGTCTCATAAGTGCTTCACAGAATTTATTGCAAAGTGTAGTAATTGTTTGTTTGTAAGTAATACCTACCTTGAAAAGAAACGGAAGATGGGTACCAAAATGGCAATATGGGGTTCTTTCTGGACTAACTATTGACAGTCATTTATTAACATCATTTAATATTGGTTACTAAGTTGTGTGGCTAATGGGGAGGAGAAGAGAAATTACAATACAAAAAAATCAGTTTCGAACAATAGAATGTGCTCCAATTTTAAAAAAAACTCACTTCTAAACAACAGCAACAGCAAATAACAACAACAAATTACATTTGTATAGTGCTTTTCACTCAGGAGGACGTCCCAAGGCACTGGAAGAAACCAGGTAGCACAAAAAGAATGGGAACATAATTTCTTCAAAAAAAAAAAAATCGGTCACTTCAATCCACGACTGTTTGTGGGACACTGTTGTGTGCAATTGGCTGCTGCATTTTGCCCATAAAATAAACAGCCAATTTGCTTTACGGTATATTCTGTGAAGTGCTTTGAGACATCTCGAAGACGTGATAAGCTGCTATATCAAATGCAAGGATTCTTATTATATTAGAAACTATTAGTGGCTATTAATCGATCCTAAATGTTATTAGGTTCTCTCTTAAGTAAAGTAGCCTCTACGAGTCAACATTTAACAGATTGCAAATTGATTTTGCTTCTTAATAAAGTCAGAATTGAAGCGAATTTAAAAGCGCCACCATATTCTTCAAAAATTAGATCAGCTACACTTAACGTTGACAGTGTTACTCTTATTACTCTTTGACACTACTACACTATTACTGTTAGATGCTACAAATATCAAACACTTAATGATACTAACCGATTTAAGTTTGAGCTTAGCTAGAATTGCAATGAAGTCAAAAGTTTTTTTCAAGAGAGTACCAAAATGGATAAGAAATCCAAGTAATAATAATAATATTGCATTTGATATAGCACCTTATCATGTCTTCGAGACGTTGGAAAGTGAATTGCCTGTATATTTTGTGGGTGAAATGTCCTCACAAACCATTAACCAAGGGAACAGGAAAACCTAAAACTTTCAGATTCAGATAGGATAAATCCAAATGCAAGTATTATTCGTAATAAATATGAAAAATATTTCAGATGAACGAAAATGCATTCCATTATACTGCAGCACGACTGGAATTTGGCTCCACATAGGGCCGATTAAAGGAATAGTGAGCCCTATGTGGAGCAATAAAAGGCATGTTTTGCTTTGGCTACTTTTTAAAAATTTTAAGATTGGCATTAACTTACGAAACATCGTCATGTACTGCTTTGGGTTGAGATTCCAATGCCCCCAGTTTGTGCGATATCCATGGATATTTGCATAATCCTCAAAATTGTACGCTGGCTCAGTCCCAAAAGTATCGATCACTCGAATGTGGCATCTGAATAACAAAAGAGCGAACACGTTAAAGGAAAGCACATCTTAAGCAAGTGGCAATTTGTTCAGTTGGGCATACACTTTCACCAGATACACAAAGCCGTTGATTGAGGAGTGAAGAGAGCTAGATTGTCACAGAATATGAAATACTCTCCTACTTACTCAGAAAAGAAATTTGCCGTTTCATTTTTTTAAAAAAATGAGTAGTTGGGGATCAATCATTAAAAAGTCCCCTCTTGTTTCGGGCCTGACAATGAATAGCGAAGTGAAAGCTTGGTGATCAGAATTTACAGTGCGCTCACTCTTGCTTGGCCCCTCTATTAATATATCTCTCTACATCAAACCAAATAGCTTCTCACATGTACACGTGATTGGTTGAACTCAAAAATAACTTGGTTGTGAGAACGTATTTCTGAGTTATTTTTGATTTATTATTTTTTAAAGTGCATCCCTTTAACTTTGGTTCACCTTATTTTTATTCTTTTAAACTGCTGCGTAAAACAAACCATTAAAATTAAAGTTAAATAAGTTACAAAAAATAGTTTGTGGGTAATTAACTCAATAGTCACTATTTATTGCGCTTCAAGTGATCTGATGCTTTGTTGCCCCAAAACGTACCAGCCCTACCTATTAGGTTATATAACTGTGCCCACAATCTTCAACGCATTGAGTTCACAACAGTTATGCCTACTAATAATAATAACAATCCTTATATTTGACATAGCGCCTTATCGCATCATTGATATGTCTCAAAGTGCTTCACAGAAGATACTGTAACGTGGATTGACTGTGTATTTTGTGGGTGAAACACCCACAGTTTCACTAGTCCTCGACAGCGGACTGAGAATGCTTCCTTAAATTGCCAAGCATATTGCCCAAGCTGCAAAGGTGAATAGGACAAGCGCTGCATCAACTGGTCCCTGTTGCTCAGGCATTCATTTCATAGAGCATCTGGATAAAGAACTTCCTATTCCATTCAAATAGCCTCAGGACATCCTCTACACGCTTGAAATTCCACCTAATAGTCAGCCGCAAGGCCAAACGTTGTAAGATTGCACAGAATTGTGGAAAATTCTTAAACTTAGTCTTCACTCGGAGAGCCACTTCATTTTGAGAGCTGAAGAAAACCGGCTTCCAAATGAATATCGAATTTGAGAATGTATTAATTCTTGATTTCTCAACAAATTCTTCAATTCTGTCTTCAATTTAAAGATTGGTTAAGAAGCTAAGATATTCTTAAAATCTACACTTATTTGGAAGTCAGTTTTCTTCAGTTCTCAAAATAGATTTTAAGACATAATGGTCTTACAGGCTACGACTTGGTGGAATTTCGGGCCCACACAAGTATTAACATCCCACATGGGAACAAAGTGATTCTCAGTTCCTTCGCCACAAATTCAAATCTACAAATTATATGTTTCTCCGTTAACTTCTTACGATTCAATATCAAGGGCATTGATAGTATTAAAATTCCTCACAGAATGACTTAGCTATTTTACACTGTGTGGTAATTTTACAAGGTACAATTATTTTGCCTTCAGAAGATAATGAGTTTTCTGGTGCAACAGAGATCTTATCAATGGAGTAGATTAAGTAGTTATTAAAACCATTTCAATTCACAGTTGTCGAATCACATTGCAATTAACAGAAGATGGTGCTAGCCATTGGAACTCAAACAAATTGCCTTTTAAATATCCAATCAGTGATTTAAGCCCTTGAGCCCTTGTAGTTCATTTCCCAGCATAGAACACGCAATACTACTTTGTCTGATTGAGCTCATTCATGGCGATTGAGGTTGTTGGCATAATGGCTCACACGCTGCACAGTGCAAACTCTGGTTGTTATAATAATAATACTAATCCTTGCATTTGATATAGCGCTTTTCACGTCGGGAGGACGTCCCAAAGCGCTTCACAGAACACACTGTAAAGTGAATTGACTGTATATTTGTGGGCGAACGCGGCAGCCAATTGCGCACAGCAATGTCCCACAAACAGTCTATAGACTAGAACACCATAGAACTCGTGAAACATAAGAATAATAATCATTGCATCTGATGTCTTCTTCCAAATGAACGAGTTTTCTCTCGCACAAACATTGACCACTGCTTTTCTTTTAAATAAAGTGGACCATCCCAATTCTGATGAGTCTGAATTAGGCAAAGCTTGAATTATTTTAAAGATGATGTGGCACATTGAAGCTGAAGTAGCAGGAGAGAGGCCTATATATTTTCCACAGATGCTGTATTTTCCATCTCAACTGTGTCATTGTTGGCTCGGTGGAGCAGCAAAGAGGTTGCTAGGTACTTCCTCAAAGGCACAGGTGAAGGGCTGGAAGAAGAGTGATGGCAGAACACTCCAGCACACACCCCGGTCACTAGCTAAAGAGCACCATCGGTGGAGGTCTGAGATCAGGAACAGCCCATTCGCTGGTTTGTGAAAGGTACATAGCCTGGAGCAATCATTTGAAGGGAACCACAACCAAAAGCAACTGGTCTCCAAACTATCGTTCAGTTCAGAGCAATTCTGTGGCATTCATCCCTAGAATCCCACATCTTTCAATGGTATCAAAGTCAGTTGTGATAAAAAAAACTAGATTATAACAATCTGATATACACAAACACTCTTGTACAGAAATCACAGACAATCTGTTGACTGCAACATAGTACCTATATGGTTCTCAAAGGCCACATTCCAGAAAAGGCACTGTTTGTAAATACATTTGAATAGCGCCTTTCACGGTGGGGGCTTGGCACTGCTGGCTGGGCAACCAGAAATAGAATAGTACAAGAACCACTGTTGAGACAGATACATCTTCAACCGATTCAATCAAACTTTTAGAATGTCACCACAGGGTTCGACACAATTGGGTTACTTCATTATCCGAGATCAGTCCAGTGTTATCAATCGATCTCAGTGGCCCTGTCACTGTTTGGTTGTCCCTCTGGCTACTGGTTGCTACTGCAACACAATGGATGTTGTGATGTTTACTGGGACTCACTGCGTTCAAATGGGATCTGTACCACAACTGCTTTCCTTATGCAGATGTGGGTACCTCAACCCATCACCTTGAGGCCTTTTCAGCGATTGCATTTTTTATGTGAGAACTAGTCTGCTATTTCAGTGCAGATAATGTACGTCTGCAGTGACAGAAGATTGCCTCTGATTTAGTTCATCGCACACATGACAAGCTCTCAGCAGCAGCGCAGGACAATTCAGAATCAGCTTAAGGTTCAATAGCAATTCGGCTGTGAAAACTTAAATAGCCCTCGCCTTTCGAAAACTGTTCCACCAACACAGGACTAACCAGTCATTGACTCAGTGTTTGTTTCAAAACAGTCCAAAACAAACATAGCTCTAGTTCTTTGGACAATAAATGCATAGCATCATAGCACTGTACGATATAGATTCTGCATTGAAATTGGTCTCACATTTTACATGGACAACCACTGCAGCTCACGTTGTTATCAGTTTACATCCTATTTTAGTTTGGAATAATAACAACTTGATTTTATATAGCACCTTTTATCTAGGGTTACGTCTTGGAGAGCTTCACACTAGCATACTTGGATGCTGAGCAAGGGAGGAAAGAGGCTGACCATAGGCACCTTCAAAGAGATCAGTTTTAAGGTGGGATTTAAAGACAGATAGATAGGAGGCGTGTTGGATAGAGGCGGAGATTAGGGGCATAATGACTGAAGTTGTGGCCACCAGTGTTGACACGGAGGGGGTGGGCGGCATGCGACAGGCCTGTGTTAGCTGAATGGAAGGGGAAGGCAGGGGAGTAAGTACAAGCAGATCAGAGAGATAGGGAGGTGCCAGGACATGAAGGAATTTAGATTCAACACTTAATTACCAGTAAAAGGTATAGGCTGCTAGTAAAAAGAAGAGTTAAGGTCACCTCTTTTTGCATATTGCTGCGGAGGATGAATTCCTGGGTTAAATTGCAAAATAAAATTAAAACGTCAGCTGCTGGAAGTGTGGTGCATTGCTGCTTGAGACAATGCTCATTAAATCAGTCAATAGCGGTTCTGAGAGGAAATTTTTAAAAACCCACTGAAATGTACCATAATATTGATTATTGAACTGAGGAGCCGTTTTCGCTCTTTTACAGTAAAGATTATCAGAACTGATAAAGAGCAACTAAATCAAAGACACACAGAGCCTGTGATCACCCATATACCTTGCAGCTCCAAAATCTATTTTGAGTTTCCTGCTGCAGCTATCAATTTGCTGTTATATTATTGTGCCTTGAAGAATATAGCCACAATATTCGATCGTGGTGCGGTGGCTGACTGGAGACGCGATAACTGTGACAAAAATATTAAGAATAGCTGAGGCTAATTATCATTTTGCAGTCCACGGCCATCGTTCTGTTCTGGAAGGTATTTGAAAGCCAATCCGCAGGACCACATAGGACAATGGAGCATTAATGGTTCATTCTAGAGCCTTTCAGGAAAGGGGGAGATAGTTTGAATAAATTGGACATCAGCCACACATTCACTTCTAAATCTGCCTCCTCCCTCAGCTCTGTGAGTAAGTGACCAAAGACCCGAAATTCTCCCTGGTCTTAGCCTGTGAGACCATTCACCTGTAAGGTTTAAGAAGGTGCAGAATTGCGGAAGTTCCTTAAATCCAGTCTGAATCTGACTCTGTTTAAAAGATACAGTGCAACAAACAGGAATTATGAAGTCTCTTCTGTCTCCCACTAAAAATAATGAGAACCATTTTACAGGAGAAAGTCATACTGCCTGGAGCTAGATATATGCTTACAAACTGTTTCAGAAAGCTGCTGTTTATCAGTGGGAATAGATTCAGGGCTGAGTTGTAAAGTACAAGATGTTTACAATGCCCTGTTACCCTCCCTTTTTTTTCTTACAATGAATTTTTATCTTCTGTGGTTTTGTTGGTCAGTGCACTGTAGAAAAAAAATACTTGGGGTAACATGACTTTGTGCACATCTTGTACTATCGACTAACACCCAGTTGTCAGTCAATTGGCAGAT